GTTATTGCGTCAACACAACATTGTTCTTAACAGTGAAGAAAATGGAACAATTGGTAATATGTATTATGAGTAAAACTCATGCCAAACACAGGGTTTAATCATTTTTGCCAATATAAACATGTATCTAAAAATTTGGAAAAAACTCTGTTGATGTAAATATTGAAAAATACTCAAACTACACCTCCTAATGAGTTATCTACTGCAGTGATTAAAAAAAGTAGAGCCCAACAAATTTAGATTTTTGGGGGCAGATGCTGAAATTAGGGAGTAAAGAATTCTGATGTATAAAAATGTAAACAAAAAAGCACATTTTCTACATTGTCTATTCTGTCAAATTAAAGTTTTCATATTGGTGCACACCGGCAAAAATAACCAGCTACTGATAAGTCTCTTTTCAGCCCAGTGTTACACTGGTTGGGCTCTAAATTAGCTTAATATATCTTAATGGCCAGGTAATTCTGTCCATGTATAGTTTTTGTGCTGTTCTTATTATTCTATCACTGTAGTAAATGAATGCTCTGTGTAAAATCCAGCGACTTACCTTCCTCCTACACTGTTGGCTGGCAGTGAGGTTCTGGTTCTCTTCCTGCTGTCTGAGTGGTCAGACAGAGACATGGGGTTGGTCTTACAGCCCTGAACACTGGCCTGTAAGATGGACCTGCCGCAGACCAGAGAGCTGAGTGTCATAATTAATCTTAGTGGTGGTTTTTTTTTTTTTTTCCATCTGTGTGATCACTGACTGCAAACTTTACCTCAGGGACTGTGATGACGACCTGGTGTGAATCTTATTCTCCTCCTGTCTGTAAAAACACAAGTAACATGACGGTAAAAATGCAATTAAAAGGAGAGAGGGGGATGAAAGGACAGAGTGGAGGGAGAGGAGGGACATACTGTATGGAGATGAGCGAGAAGGCTTTAAAAATTGATAGATTTAGACTTAGGCACAGATCTTTACTGCAGCTTCAGCAGCCAAGTAGGATTAGTAAAGCCAGGTGAGTACCAGAAAAAGCCAGCAGGTGGCACTAAACAATTTAGAGGGCCCAGATTTTCTTTTTTTACAGTTCTTTTCATTGGCTTAACTGTCTGAATTTTTTTATTTTATTTTGACTGTGCAATCAACACAAACAACAAAGCATGATGTTTGATGAGGGACTATGGTGTGAAATAATCATGTGCTAAATAAATGGTATCAAGGACAAGACAGGAGGAGCCTCTGGTGTTTCTGATTTTTAAAAGCGGGCTCAAAATTGACTGTGCTCTCAGAAAGGATAAAGTAACAAGAGGATGAATTTTAAAAACAACTTTCTGATTTGGGGTTGGGGATTGAAGAAAGACAGGGGGGCTCACTTACAGCATTCTCAGTTAGAGCTCCAGAACGTGGGGGGCAGGACAGGTTTTTGAGGGGGCAGACGGGCAGTGGAACTCAATGAAATCCTAACCCGTCTATACAGAAATGCAGGATGGAAGAAGGGAAGCCATACACAATCCACCACAGGGCAAGGCTACACAGGGAGGAGAGCAGCATGGCTACCAGCCATCTGAAAGGAGGACAAATCCAATAACAAGAGCAAAATGGAAAAAAGGGTAGAAAAAAAAGGAAAGAGAGACAAGAGACGTCCGGGTAGGACACAAAGCCTCTGATGTTCTGCTTTTCCACTGGGACTGGATTAGATTAAATACCTTTCACAGAGCCTTGAATCCAGCAGTGCCAGTCAGCAAGTTTTTGTTCCTCACCTTTTCTGATGGGTTGGAAATTTGCCGTATACTAATCTGACCAATGTGGAGATTGTGAAGTAAAAGGGTTTAAATAAAGCTGTTAAATCTCACAGGTAGATATTTAATTTTATACAAGAACGAATAAACATTAACAGTGTGCCAGGTGATTTTACAGCTGAGCCGACAATAAACTTTACTGGCTGTCGGATGGATGACACTGATAGTAGATATAGACTCACATACAAAATATGGTAAAATTAAAACAGAATATTTAAAAACAAAAAGATTGACTAAATATGCTGCCTTAATTTACATATATAGATCAACAGTATATATAATCACTAGCTCTAATTAGTAGTTAATAAAAATATGGTCAGTTCCTACAAGTGTTCCTTATGGATACTGGCAGAGATGGAAACCTGAAGCAGTAAACAAAGCTCTGGTGTTTTTTTATTTACACTGATCCAGTCACATAAAGCAATGGAAAAACAACAGGCAATTGACAATGAACCCGGTCCGACATTAATTACGTTAGACACAAACATAGATCGAACACAGAAGCATGTCCATGCGTGCGTGTCTAAGGGTTTCATGCCTACTGCCATGCACGAAAAAGGCAGACAGGGTGAAGAGAAGTTGTCGTGTTTCTCACTGGAATACAACATGCAGCTCTGTGTTACATAATAAAACAAACAGTGGAGCCAGATGGTGAAGTTCAGCTGCAGGTTGGATGTTTGTCTAGCAGCACAGACACTGATAATGCATACAGCCTGAAGAGTGAGCATATCTCCCTTGTGCCTCAACTCCCTCCTGAGGACGCATAAGAACCCGCTTTCATCCCATCTCCTCCTCAGAAGCTCAAATGTGATGTTTTATCATCCTGTACAGCAGAATGAGGATCAGGAGACATTTACCTTCCCATCAATGCAATTTAAAGCTGATAATTTAACTCAGAAAAACACCTCAGTGAAAGATGATTCTGACACAAAAGCACTACTCACCATTTTCAAAAACATCTACAACTTAGGCTACGTCCATACGGCTACGTTTCAGTTTTAAAACTAAATCAATCGACGCCTACATGAGCGTCCTAGCTCCGTATTAGTAATAGTTACATCATACAATATCACATGATCATTGACACAGCAGTGTGGATGTAGCCTTATGTGATAGAGCAACTTAGCTACTTTACTAAACAATAAATACCTGCAAATCCTAACAAAGGCCTTTACTAGTCTTTTTCTTGAGAACTGTCAATGTCAAGTCAGTAGTGCAAGCCATGCACTAAAAACATTTAATTCAACTAATCCAGATCTCTTTTAAACTGTGATTAGTTGAATAACTAGTGCTGTTGCTATTAACAAGTACAGCCGGCTCTACATGAGACCTCTAGTGTAACTCAGAGGAAAAGCCTTTTTATCAAAGCAGATCAGCTCAGTGTGTCCATGAGGCAATGACGGGCGTGTCGATGTAATGCATCCACTAGATGCATATCCACTTCACACCGTCGTCATCCAAAGAAGGAAAGAAATAAAACAAAACAGAACAACTTCAAATCAGCCATACTGTTATAACCATACCATTTGCTGCCATAGCAACCATCTCTACAGGAAGAGGATGTCAGCTAGAAAGGAAGTGATGTGCACTTACCTCTGTCATACAAAACCTCACATCCTCTCTCTGTTTTTCCTCTCCCCCACTTTCTCTCTGCCTCTCTCTATCTTTTGAACGGCAGGCAACACATCGGCCACGCCGTGCCCATGAGGCTGCAGCAGAATACTACCTGCCTGACATGGGACAACACAAGCCAAAGCCATTTGGGTATATTGGCAGAGGCCAGTCAACCATCCTCAGCCGTGGTGACACCCAACCTTCCATGGCTTTATTTACATTAGCACAACTGATGTGGAATCAGAGAGGCAAAACAAATCTATTAGGGTTCTTCCTATTCAGATCGCTGTGGGGCATTAGCACTTTCTGTTGGAACACACTAAAGAGCTGGCTAGTCACATGTTACAGTTGTACAGCCACCCTCATCTGCTAGTTACACATAAATGTATGAGATACAAAATCTAAATGATTAAGCTGATAAAGGCTCAATGAAGTGTTTGTAATATGGCACAGTGACGTTTTTTTTATTATCATTGAATATATTTTGAGGCTACTTTATATCCGTGACAGTTTTGCTTTTGTTTGACATTTCCAGGATGAATCCTTTTCAGATTTCACAACTGTGAGGCTATTACTATTTTTAGGCTTTCTGCTGGTTTAAACAAATTGAATTTAAGAACACAATAATATAAATCTAAGACCCATGTCAAGTATGACAGATATAAAGGAATATCAGAGTCCCAGATTTTTTTCCGCTTCCCAATAATTTCCATTATACAGATGGATGCTTCCAAAACAATTCTCTTAAAAACATAAAACATTTAATGAGAGAATTAGCTTTGAATGAAAGTTAATGAAACCAAGACCTATTAAATGTATTTAAGACCTACTATGTAATATTTAAACATTTGAATGTCTCCAATTCTGATTGAATTTTATTGTTTCTGTTCGGGAGCTTTGTTTTGTGGCTCTACACTCACTGTACTCCATGACAGTTGTAATACACCTGTACTTTCGTGTCCCTGTGTTTTTGGTCAAAACAAGTCAATCTAAATCTAAGAATCAATTCTGTATGTTTACTCAAAGCCTACATGAGTGGCCTATTTACCTCAAGGCCAATGTGACATAATAAACCAGTGACTAGCAAGCTCTACATTGATTTGTCCTATATATTTTCCATCCTCTCTTAAGAGATAAAGTTTTAACCATTGGACTAAAGAAGAAAATTTACTTATGAACAGTTGCTGAGTAAAATTAATTCATGGGTTTTATCTGTTACATTCCACATCTTTTGTGCCTTTATAAATCCAGCCCTCTACAACATTTAGGAAGATTGTGTTTTTGATAACTCTGATCCAGCCGTCCAAACAACTGTGTCACTTACTCAATGTCTTCATATTTAACCTACTTCCTCCCCGACTTCTCATTCACCCTCATCACTCACTGATTTTAGATAAAAACGGAATCATTTACATTACACTTGATCTGCATGTGATGGCATGTACTCCAGAGGACACAAAAAACAGAGTTATTGAAATATCACGAGGATACAGCCTGGTTCTTCAGCTCCTAGATAAATGATATTAGTATGAAACTGCCATGGTTCAGGTAAGGAGCAGCATTACCAGATGTCTAAAACCTGTCTTATAATTACAACAGCTTACCCCGAATAAGCACGGTCACATCTCGGTCATTATCAAATCCTAATTCTCCCATATCACAAGTTACAAATGATTTGAATAACACTGTATATATGTTATTATCCGAGGGACTGGCTATAATAGTCAGTGTGATACATGACGACACTCAGAGACTGCCTGGGTACTTACGATAGTGAGCCTGAGGACGACCTGGCCTGCCTCTTGCTCTTCAGTGCTCGCAGTTTATCACCCTGTGTGAGGCCATTTCTCTCCTCCTCATCATTATACTGTAAAACAAAGTGATAAAGATACAAAACACGGTGTCCGCAGGGCTAAATTTGGTTATTCCATTCATGAGGGCATTCCTGGGGCATCATTCCAGAACTCACCAAATCCATTTCTTCTTTCTTGGTTGCCCTGTTTTTGTTGCTGCCGTTTATGGTTATGTCGTCCACTCCAGACAGGATCCTTGTGACAGCCATCTTGCCGTTCTCTCGTTCGTTGAGCATCTTCTCTCGGAAAATTTCTCCCTCTGCCCATAAATTGTTTTGCTTCCTGAGGCACAACAGTTCAACACACCACAAAATAAACCTGCAGTCGAGCTGTAACACCACAAGTGATATTATTATTTCTTAGATCAAATCTATCCTCACATTCACGTCCTGTTTTTACAATGGCACCTTGCACCAGTGCAACAACATTGGTTGTGCTATTGTTTATTCTGCCAGCACAATTAATCAAACCATATTGGTTCTGTTGGAGCAGATTAGTGGAATTTCCAACAGTTAAACTGTCAAAATTAATTAATCCTAAGGAATATATATTCTGAATGTTAACTAAGGTTGTTGCTTACACCCTGGAGAGGTTACTAGCATGTCGCTAGAGATACAGGGACAAACAACCATGGAAGACGGACTACCCGCAGAGACCCCATGCAGACACAGGGAGAACATGCAAATCCCACAGAAAGGGCATGGGCAAACCAAGTTTCGATCCAGGAACCTTCTTGCTTTGAGGTGACAGGGCTAACCACTGTTCCATTTTTAAAATCCTGCTTCAGTGGACACCTACTCTTCAACAAAGTTCTGCTGAGGCCCGATGACGGACCCTGGCCGGCAGATCCGTATCCAGGCAATGGCCTCTGCAGCAGTCAGGCCGTAATGTTTCATCATATAGCAGCCAATCAGAGTACCAGTCCTCCCAAGACCAGCTGAAAGTAAAAAAGAGGGATATGACATCATAACATCATTAGTTTAGAGTAATAAGTGTTGAACAAGCTCCACTGTTTCTTGAAGTGTGAATGTGGCTCCGAAATTTTACCTTTGCAGTGGACCGCTATCGCTCCTTCTGCGTTCTCACAGATATTGAGGAACTTCCTGACGATGCTGTCGGTCGGTGTACTCCCGTCCACGAAGAACAGGTCGTGGTGTTCAAAGCCGGAGTCTGTAAATCGCCTGGCATCGTACATCTTCTTGTTGAGGCGGATAATAGCGGTGATGTTGTGTTTTCTGAAATAAGGAATGTAGGCCTCGGGAGCATGCAGAGGATACCCTGAGGTAAGAGAGGAAAACATTCTATGAGTTTAAGAGGCGTTAAAACAAAGCCAGAAAAAAGGCTGTGCAGCACTTTTGGATTACCATTCTCTATTTTGCTTTTTGGATGAGGTCCGCTGAACGCAAGGAACTTCCCTGGAATGATCCAGTTCAAGTCTCCATTTTCTGCTCTCTCATAGTGCTCATATTCCTCCACATCGAAGTTGGAGAAATCCAGCCAGCCGTACTGCAGAGCCTGACAGGCAGTTGGGAGGGAGTTAATTTCATTAGGTGCATGACACAGCAAGATAGAAAAATAAATAAAGTAAATCTTACGCTAACGTACCTTTTGAACGGCACGGAGGCAATCCAGGATGTTCAGGTTGTACATGCAGCTTCCAAACGAGGCATCTCTGTGAAACAAATTAGACCGACAGTCTTTCTTAGATGACATAATCTCCTTTGAATTTATTTTTGTCCAGAATGCAGACTGCTGTCTCATGGCGAATGGTCTCTACTGCTTTCCATCTCCCTCACGAGTCTTGCTCTACTGCTTTTCATACTTTTTCTTTAAGCACTTTATAGTAACAGTGATCGTAAAAGGGCACCAGGGCCCTTGAGCCTTCAATATCTTTTCTGTGTTGCACTTGTGTCTCAACAATATGGGGGAGAAGAATTGCCATTTTGTTCTGAATGTAATATTTTTCAAGTTACAACATTTCCAAATAGGACTTGCAGCAATATTTTCCAAACAAATTTGAAAAAAGTTAAACTTAGTTTTACTATAGATTCAAACCCCATATGTAATAATTATTAGCTTGTTTTTTCCGTGGGTGCTAAACACATCAATTTGCTCTGAGAATGAATGTGGTTCAAAGTCCAAAGCTAAATTTGTCATTTTAAAACTCAGAGTTTAAAACTTTCACATTTTTGACACAAATTCTTCTCGTCTTTGAAACAGCCTTTAAAAAACTAAATTATTGTCACCTGAATGGGATGTATGTTGAATTCCTCGAAACCAGCAGACTGTAGGCCTCCTCCGGCATCATGTTTAGATGCATTACCTTCAAACACAAATGTCTCATCAGCAAGTACGGCTTGTAATAAATGCTGACGTGATGTAATTTCACAAATAGGAAACATGGGTTTGTAAACTACTTACCGCATATGAGCCTATTAGGTAAGCAGCATTGGCCTGTTTTTTCTGGTCTCCACATGTATAAAATATGATCTTCTTCTTTGACAGCGTAATAGACTGTGAAATGACATTAATTACAAACAGCATGAGCAGACATGTGATTATTTATTTATGTGACACAAGTGTATACAAACTTATAACTAGTTGTATTTTGGGGCTGAACAGCTGCAGTGGGAAGACAATCTACACTGCTCGATGAAAATGAGACTTATTAATAGAACTGTTTTCCTATTTACAGCACTACATGGTGTGGAGAATGCCAGTCAACTGTATTTGTATAATCTAAAAAAAAGGCTGGGCAATCACCACCAGAGCCTAATAAGTTTTAGAGCTGCAGAGAGGCTGAATCCTCTGCATCTAAACTTCAGCTGCCCAAATCTGTGGCCAACAGCCTCGAAGACCACATCATGTGCCAAACAAACTGCCTCAACAAAGAGGAACAACAGCATCACAGACCACAGGGATTATTCAGGACATGACATGAACTGTAAAAAGTTGACATGTCCTGCTAATTGGCACATCAAACAACTATGACCCTGCCTCATTTTGTTTGTTTGAACAGATATTGATCAACCTTGATTTTGCATCCCATTCCAGGGAGTGCAATTAAGTGCAGCGATTGACTTTACCTTGAGCTTCTTTGTCAGCTTGCAGCAGAAGCGATAAAACATGGCCAGGTTAAGGGGACCAAAGTCCGCATAGAAGCTGAGGGAGAGAGTGACAAAAAAGAAAGAAGGAGTGTGTCAGGGAAGCTATTTATGCAACCTGCTACGATCTCTGGGGAAGTTTCATTAGATAGAATCAGCTACATCAGACTGAGCTAGTAAAAAAACACTTACAGAGCAAAGACTATATTTGGAAGCATTCAATGTAAGAGTGGGTCAATGAGAAATGGACAAAAGGCTGCGAAGACAAGGGATCTTTTTTTCTACCACTGGCAGGAAAAATGGCTCATAAAGGTCAGTCATGTCCTCTCTGAACAACAGCCCATTGAAACAGCTCTGCCCTCCACTGCAAGCTGTGAAGCTGCCACTGTAGCTGTGGCAACGTGCTTTAATTTTATACAAATATATAGTGAAAAGGACAGTGCACCAAAAAAGTTGTCATTTTGCAAATAAATTATACGTCTGATTTAACAAGGTGCACATTTAAAACAAACTCATCACATTCAGTTGTGGATTTGTCGTTTTGTCAGTGGCCACCCAATTCAAAAATTCTGGGGGCCTGAGGTTTTCTGCACTAAACCAGAACTTGCATTGGTTTAAAGGAGTCACGGTAGCAGTGGTGGTGCAGGCGGTGTCTTTTAAAGAGCTGCAGTGATTACAGGAGGTTTTGTTCTGGCCTTTTCTTACATTCAAGGAAGTGCATGTTTTTTTTTTAAAAGACTAATGACAGAGCCAGAGCACTTCAGGTGCCAGTGCCCTGCCTGGCCCCACCCCTGGATTTACATTAGTTTTTTCATGAAATTCAGTTCTGGATTTTTCCTCTTTGGTGGACCGACCCAGGATTGTCAGACTTGAGCTGTGGGGGGTGCAGGCGATGTCCGGTGGAGCGCTGCAGTGATAACAGAAGGCTTTGGCATTGCCTTTCATTGCATTGCAGTGCAGTGGGGGTGGGGGGGACCACTCAACTTCACAATCTGTTCAGCATGCAAAGTTGGGAATCAAACCTGCAACTCACTTCTCATACGCCAGCTCCTCGTCTATGCAGAAACAGTGTCTCTCTGCGGTGCTCTTGATCTTCTGGTGAAGTATGGCGAAATACAGTTGATCTGAGGGGGGAGGGGTGGGGGGGTCAAATACAGAGGCACTTACTTGCTATTGTCATGCAAACATACTTCTGTTAGTACTCTGCCCCCCCMCCCCCCCCCCACACACACAACTTCTCCCTACTTGCGTACAAGTACTTCAGTGTTTGTTTCTTACCCCGGACGAACTCGACACATCTCGACGAAACCTGGTCCGCGGTCATCTTTCCCGCAGATTTAAACATGACGCCTAGAAGAGAAACGCTGGTTTTCCCTCACAGAGACTTGAGCATGCTCCGAAAACACTCTCACCGGAAAACCCCGTGGAGGGAGATTTAAAGCAGGTATTTGAAAAGTTGAACGTAAGAACGGTTTCAGGAGGCGTCGCTGCGAAAGAGGAGAAAGTTGGAGGAAGGCGAAGAAGAAGTGCGCACACTGCTAAAAGATGACCTCCGCCTGGCTCCTCCCCCCTCGGCTGCTCCGCGGGACGCTATTGGCGGGGGGAGATGTGGAGCGCGGCGCGATTGGAGGAGCGCGCTGTCGGTCACGCCCCGTTCTTGTTTAAAGTTCTGCACGCGAGACATGCGATAGGCCGCGGGAACGTTGCCCAAACGGTTGCTAGGACGATCCCTCGGCCAATCAGAGGCGTGATTTCCAGTCCGGCCCCTCCCTCAAGACCTGAGCTTTCTCCACAAGAAGCAGGAAGACTCCGCTGGAGGTGAAATAATCCACTTTAAACCACAATCATAACGAGAGTAACTCTTCTATTTATGTGATGGATGCACCGATTAACCTGTGTGCACGTGCATAACTCAAACACGATAATAAAATACCATGTCTGGTGTAATCCCCACCTCTCAAATGAAACTATTGCAGCGCACCGATTTTTAAAGATTTAACTCGACACGATAGAGGGGGGGGGCATACGATGTCGCCATATTTTGACAAATCCTGCAAGATCTCAGACTTTCACGCACCCTCACTTGTTTGAAACGCAATAATGCGCGTGCACCGTGTGCTGCGTGCACCCGTGCACATCTGCCAACTTCGTGCACGGCCGCTTACCTGTTATCTCCATGTACATGTCAGAGTTGGGCTCCGCCTCTGAGCCGCGGTGAGCTGCGCACCGCTTCTTCCTCGACTCCCCTCGTCTCCTCTCGCTCTTGCGCTTCATGTTTTCTCCTCCTCAGAGCCTCGCTTCACATTGTGGTGCAGCTGCAGCACAGTCCCACCTCCTCCTCCCCTCTCGCAGTGCGGCGCCTCGTATTGTCCCAGTTTCTGTCGCCGAGTTATTGTGCCATGGTCCTGGCGCCGTGCAGCTGATTGTGTTTGTGTATCTGTGTTGACAACCACAGACCCAGTAGCCTGATCCAACCTCTCTGGCGGCGTCGGTGACGTCTGTGAGCCGGGGCAGGTTTCTGCTTTCTGCATCCCCTGCATGTGACGTATGAGGATTAGATGTCCAGTGCCCACCCTTCACTGTTCAATAGCAGCAGCTGTGTGTGGATAACGTGCTGGGATTGTAGTCCTGTGCTGCTCAGTAGATGGGACTGTGCCATCATTGTGCACATGCATGGGAATAAACACACATGTAGCCTGAGTGTGACAGTTCAACTTTATTTACAGTGTAATAAATACTGAGCAAATTAAGACATAACGTATAAAATGGAAGAATGCGACAAGACCTAATATCTAGGTCACCAGTGTGCCAACAGAATTACAAAACATAAGACATTACACTGCATGTATTGTTATTCGACAACAGTCGTGCATGTGCACCCATTTTATAAACTTGAAATCCTTTTTAGTTGAAAAAGTTAAAAGACAGAATTTTACTCCTGAGTGATATTTGTGGTTTTAAATGTGTCTATTTGAGCTGTGCTTGCATAGTGCATAAAAATTATAATAGATGTAAATTAGTGTTTTTGTTATTATGCTTTTGATAAAATGATATTGTTATATTATTAATATTGTTTTATTGCCCAGTCTTTCAGGTCTTCTTCTGTTTTGTTAGTTTGTGATAACTGTGAAATAGTGTGTTTGTGTGGTGTGTGTTTTTATGTAATTTTGTTCAATTTCCACTTTTCCAAGTCTCTTTTGTAAATGGAAAAAGATAATGTATCTCAATTTCCTGGTTAAAGAAATAAATTAAATATTTAGACCTATTCAAGATTGTGACCTCATGACCTCGCACAGGAATGATAAACACTGTACTCGGAAATACTGGGACACATATACCTGTTACTGAGAAATATGCTGCCTAGGTTCTTCTAGTTATATATGTCAGTGTGTAGTGATGATGTAACTGAACAAGCAGCATGTGTCCCCCTGTGTAATAATAGCAGTGATGTGGTGGCACAGCACTCAGTCGGGCAGCCAACTGGCTACACATCCATGATCTTTGGTTTATCGCTGAAGTCCAGAGTCTGTTGAACTCCGGCCAGCTGCAGCAGCCAGGTGATGGGCATGTGGTCCAGGCGGTTCATGTCAAAATGGGAAAAATGGACTTGAGAGCCTGTGGAGATGAGAGGAGAGGAAAGTGAGCGCTCTGGTGGCCAGATGGTTACAGCACAGGCCACATAAGCAGTGTGCAAAGACCTTTGCTGCAAGTCATACCCCTTCTCTCTCCAGGTGTCTTCCTGTCTGCCTCTTGTCTAATAGACTACTGCCTAAAAAATAATCTAAAAGAATAAGATTGACCAAAGAGAGCTATGGTTGTGGCCGTGCTCCAGAGCGAGAACATGTTCAATTATCCTAATTAGTGATGCAAAAGATCTCGATGTGGTACAGTGTAAAAATGGTATAGATTTTAGTTTCCTTCGACAATCACAAGATAGATCTTGTGGGGTTTTCAAGCATTGTCGTCTAAACCAACCGATACATGAGTGAAAAGTGAATATGATAATGAGAAAAGAAGTCGTATGTGTCAAACCACAGTTTCCTGAGAAGAATCTCACCATTTAACCATTGTTCCACAAAGGTACTTTATTGTTTTTAAAGGAAACAAATATATACCTGGTCCTGCAATGATGGCTCCACCTTGCTGATGTAGGTCACCCTGGAAGTCGAATGCAGGGCTGGTCATGGCTCTCCATATGCTCTTCATTTGGCCCAGAAAAACTCCAGACTTCACATGGGGACTAGGAGTTGCTGAGGACATAGAAATAAACACACACAAGCTATTATTCATGAATTACCACATTGGTCTAAGTTTACACACATACTGCCTCCAAATATTGTTATCACTCACCAGAGTTTGTAAATGTCTCTCCTCTCTTCATCCCAAGCTTTTGATAAATGCACCTCTGTGGGTCCACATATATTTCATAAGGATAGCCTGTCAACGAGCAGAATGGCTAGATGAGAGAAAGAGAGACATATATCACATGAAATAAAAATCCAGATCAATTCAGTTTCATAAGGTGACTGTTGGGCCTTGGCAGAGGTATGTGCTATATACTGAGGGTCGTTCTATATTTCTTTTACGATCAGGCAATAAAAAAGCCAACAAAACATTAAAAACACGTCTGTAGCTGCATCAGAAACCTGATCAGTAATACATCATCTGAAGTGTGAAATGTGCAGAAACACAGACAACCTGAGTCAGCATGACAGAATGGGACAATGTGATATTGTGTCTATTGATCATTAATGAATTACCTCTATATGATGATGAGCAGACTGACCAATCAAAATCAGCCTGATGTCAGCATCCTGCAATGACACATATCAAAGTTTAGATTGTTCACAATCAATAATAATTTAATATTGCTAACATGAGTCTGTAATAACGACTTCCATTTCCCCAACTGAGTTTAAGAGGTTATAAACAACAAAGAGACAAACAAAATAAAATCTATTAAAAATAAAAAAGCTAAATAAAATACATTTAAAGGAGCAGAATAGAAGAGTAAAACAATAAAGATAAAATAGATTAAAATGCATCAAAATAAAACCTTTGATTCTTTGAACTACTTTAAAGGCATGTGTCAATAAAGAAGTTTTCTTTGTTGATTTAAAAGCTGGTTACCACTGGCTGAGTGAGCCCCGGTGATCTCTGAAGTCTCACAGATTCATTGCATTGCATTGCATTCATTCTCCAGTTCTCACCTCCAGTGCTTCTCTGGGTATTTTGCTCAAATCATCCACATATTCTTTGCAGCTGTAACACAGGAAATTCTACAGGGACATACACAACACACATCATGTCAACAGTTTACAGTTATATGAGATATAACATTACATTTTAGAGCACTCCTCTTGCACCTATATGTAATGTTTAGTTTTCTGTCTTCACCTATAGACATGATCTCTCCATTCTTCTATGTCCATCCTAGCATTGGCAGTAGTTGTTGGAGGCTTCTGTACAGCAACTGTAGTCACTTTGAAATTGATCACTTGCGTTAAAGTTCCTTGGATCGAAAAAAGGGTTAAAGTTTAATGACATTTATTATTTGATTTGATTTCCACATAAGACAATAACAAGTATGGAATATTGTATCTCTATGTAGTTTTTTTTAAAATGAAAATTAAAGGCAAAGCCTCTAAAGGACTTTTGTATAATAATATTTAATATGAGCAAGTGCCATAATGAAAAAGTAGCCAGATTTGCCATTAATCTTCTCATACATTCTACAGTAAAATCTTCGGAAACTTGAAATGCAGACAGTGGGGTGAAATGAAATATCTGTGTCACCCTCAAGGATTTAAAAAAACCCATTTCGTATGGTTAGTTGGTAATTGTTATGAGTGCCATAATGAAAAATTTAATTTAATTTTTTTAAAATAAAAAACATACATATATGTGATATATCATTCAATTGTATTGGTTGTTTTGTGTGGACATCAAATCAAACGTAAATAATAATTGTCATTAAACTTTAAACGTTCCACGGACCGGTACCGTAAAACCATGAATAGAGACGCATGTATTTTTTAAAAGTAATTTCTGTGACCGGGTTTTGACAAACTTCCTCTCTGAGTCTCAGTCTGAGTTTATTCCGTCTCTCACGGATCGTGGTGGTTTCTGAACCTTCAGCTCATCAGTGACCTAACAGAAGAAATGTTCCCCCTACCCGCAGGAATATAATGACCGCCCTCCGGTCCTGGTGTAACTTCTTGAAAGGAGCAGAGACTCCGTGTCGGTCGTAAACTAAACAGTCCTCCACTTCTTCCAGGCGGACGTCGACACGCTGGCTCCATGTTTCCATGTTTCCTTTAGTCACTTGTCGAGTTACTGGTGAAACTCCTTCAGCCATGTTCCGCCTCTGAGGCTTCCTGAATGCTCGCCACTATTTCTGGGAGCAGCCGAGCAGAGCCCGGAGGAGCTGCTGCTGTGTGCTGGAAACACACACGCCCATGTGCTCACTGTGTGTGTGTGTGTGTGTGTGTGTGTGTGTGTGTGAGAGAGTGTATGTGTAGGAACTTCTCCAGTGTGTACAGTTGATTTCTCTCTCTCTCTCTGTACTCAGAGTATTTATAAATAGTCTCTTAAAACGAAGATGATAGATGGATGGATGGATATATAGATAGATAATCATTTGTTATTAACAGTCATTGCAGCAGAAGCAGTTCCAATATAATAATAATAAAACAGACTGAATTTGTTCTGCGTACATGTACCTAATAAACTGTCACAAAGTGTATTTTGTTCACACTTTTGTACTTGCAGGACTTTTTGGTGTACTTTGATTGTACAGACATCACACAGAAATACCACGAGTGCATGTACAATGACTGTGTGGTATTTAGATATTCAACCTTTTCACCATATTTGTTTTGTCTATGTAAGGAGAGATATGAATTTATGACTGCACACAACACACATATTATTATAATACTGTGGTATTTGTTCTAACTTTATTGATTGCAGCTTTATTTATTGAAGGACGCTTCCCATAATCTCCCCCCCCCACATGTCTGTCCTGATAAAACCTTTGTGTCAATAAATATCCTGAATAAACACCTTGAATCTCGAATTACGAATCGCCCTCGTCGGCTTCCTTCGCGCAGCTCGCTGGGTGCGGAAGTGTTTTCCTCCGGAGCAGCAGCAGCTGCAGAGCCACCGCTTCTCTGGTTCGGTCGCAGGCTTCCCCCCTCCCCTCCTCCCCGTGTCCGCGTCTCTCCTGCCGGGACCTGTCAGCGCTCACCTCGGCCGTGCAGCGGAGCAGTAGTATGCGAGCACCGTGCGGAGCGTGGGAGCACCGTGTGAAGTGGTGAGACGTGTTTTCATGTCGGAGCTACAGCTAACGTAGCATCCAGTGATGGAGCAAGCTAGCCTGACAGCCAGAGAGAGCTGACCCGGGTTAGCAGCGGAACCGTGTCTGTGTATTCCAGCTGAGACTGGAGGTGTACATGTGATGTCGGAGCAAATGTGTAGACGTGAACCTGTCGCGATGTAAAACACAACACGACGATCAGACTGCTGTGTGTGTGTGTCTGTGTGTGTGTGTGTCTGTCTGTCTGTGTGTGTCTGTGTATGTATGCTACACGACCACCTGTTCACTGTTTACATCTTTGTGTTTTCATTCGTCTACCAGACGATGCACCGTCGCTGCTGCCTCGATGCTGTGTAGTAACAGTAACTGGAGTCAAGTGAGGATCATTGTGATCTATTGTTATGATCATGAGCTGGTGTTGAACACGTCTAGCTTTTGGGTTTGTTGATTGTCTTCATGAGAGAGTGACACTGATTAACACACATTAGAACATAAGAAAACAAGTGGTGAGCAATCTGAATCCACACACGTTAACAACACTGCAGCACGCTCTGCACCGATAAGGCTGAGAAACTGGTCGACTGTCTAGATGTCCCCAAACCCTGAGGGGCCACGAGTCACAGATTCATGTAGCTCCACTGGTCTGGATAAAAATCAGCCTGTCATATGAAGAGGCCTGACGTTCACTGAACATTTGGGTGTTGTGAGTAAAGCTTGTGTGGCCCATTCTGTGAAGTAGCCAACATAAATTGGGTTTTTACCACACTTCATTTTAGACAGCCCCAATTCTCCCGTGAAGACTTATCAGTTAAGTTTCAGGGTACTTGGCAGATAAGTTGTTCCAAGCATCTCCTAGTTCTTTTGTGGATTTAGTCTTCTGTCTGATTGTGTAACTCCGGACTGATGGCATGATGCTGAGATCAGGACCCTTTGGTTTTTAGCTGCATGGGTGTTTGTGTAATGAGGAAGAAGAAGTAAGGTATTGAAAATGGTATCTTTTTTTTATCAGTATAAAAACCTAACCCAAAACCTGGGTTAGACACCAACAATAATAGCCAGTCCTGCATTTTTTCATGTTTTATGAATTTGCTGATGACTGTATTGATCTTTTGGTTCCAGAGTTTTCTTGAATCATCTATATGGGCCATCTTCTCTCGAAAAATGGTTACCGCCTGAAGAAGAGGACACGCAAGTTGCATCACAGAAAAAAGAAGAAGAGGAACTGTTTCCTGCAAGGGCCTTGTATGCTGTGCTTCATCGTCCACAGCAACAGCAGCAGTCTCGACGACGACAGCAACCATTTGGAGGTCGGCGTCAACGGCAGCGGCTGCCATCTCAACAGTGTCACTGGAATCAGCGTCCCCGGTGTGGGCGGAGTTGGCATCGGAGCAGTAGCTGCCTCGAAGCTTGCCGAGCGATACGCAACACTCGCATCTCCTGAGGACTGCTCCAAGTTTCTGTTGTCGTCACGGGAGTTATCTATCTGGGAGGGCCAAGGCAGGAGCCTCCTATCAGCTGTCCCTGCAAAACTGATTCCACCACCGGCGCTGTTTCGAACTGCTGGGGTGTCTGTGACTGTACCCATACCTGTGCCTGGCTGCACCAGCGACTACACTGAGATGGTAGGGATCTGGAGAGGTGCTGCACCAACTGTACAACTGTTTTTCTAAGTTTCTCATAAGTCGCAATAGTATTTAGACTGATTAGTTACTCTACATGTTACCACCTCGTCGTCCCTCTAAACAAAGAAAGCCCTCCTCTTACTTTTTACTGTTGTTGTTTCAAAGACCCTGTACAGTCATGGTATTAACACCCTTCCTGTGGAATCCGATCAGAGATTTAATCACTCAAACCACTCAGAGGTTGACTGGGATGCATTTGGCCAAGTTTCTTTTTATCCCACACAGACTCAATCTCAAACACAGTGACACACATCTGTAACTCATACTGGGTAGAAACATAATTTGGTCTTCAAGAATTAATGAATGTGATTATTGCAAATAGTGCTGAGAAGTGAGACCTTATAACAAGTGGTCACAGGAGACAAGTGGTCACAGGAGACAAGTGGTCACAGGAGACAAGTGGTCACAGGAGACACAGACAGCAGTTTAATATAAAGTGTGAACAGACAAACTAAATGCTGTTCACTTGTGATGAGATTTTTCAAGACGGATGTTAAACCAGGTCTGTAGTATTTTCCTTAACTGAGCAACCAACTGCAGAGCAGACAACCTGCTTCCTGTTTGCATTGGCATTCAAATGACTAGTCTACGAGAATGGTCGTATGATATGCTTTGGTTGTTTGTTGGTTTGGAGATGATCTCTGATATGGAGCTCAAAGTCTTGATGAAGATAGTTTTTGTTTTAAAACAGTTTCAAACAAAAACACATTAGTGAGATGTAGCCTTGATTTTCAAGTTGTAATTTTCTATTCATTGAGGAAAAAGTCAGGAGTGTTCTATTTCATCTGTTCCTATATATGGTGAAGGTTTCTTCACCCTGTAATTCAAAGCTTTTTAGTTTGACTTGACTGAAGGAAATCTGGGTCCACTTGACGTGTTTGTGTGTTTGTGTGTGTGCGTGTCTGGGTGCAGGTGTGTAAGAGGAAGTGCTCAGAGGTGCAGAGGTGCACCCCCTGTAAGCAGCCACGCTGTGCCTTCGCTGCCCCTGACGGAGGGCTGGAGAATGGAGGAGTGGGGGGAGGTGGAGGAGAGACCTCCTCAAACTCTGAAACTGGCCACTGCCACCTTCCCCTCTGTCCACTTCCCTCCTCCTCCTCCTCCTCCTCCTCCTCTTCCTCTGCCTCCTCCTCTTCCTCCTCACCTGCTGATGGCTGCTGTGGGTTAGGACTTCGTGCTGATTTGCCGCACAGTTCGGACACGTCCCCCTGCTGCCTGCATCATTACGACGACTCCCAGGCGAGAAGTTCTGACGCTGCTGACCATTTAAGTATCAACCACCTGCCTTCCTCCATCCTTCTTAAGGTAAGAGCTCCTGAAAGAGTTAAATTGTCTTTGTGTTTATTGATTTGGTTCCTAAAAAGATTCTAAAATATTTAGCCAAATCTTTACTGAGTAATAAGTTTGTTTTTATCTTTTTTCCCAAATGAGCCACAGCATCTGAATTGTTCTTGAATGGTTTGTCTTATGTTCATTTCTGTTTATCTTCTCCTGCATCCTCTCAGGTGCTCTCCCACTTAACGGTGAAGGAGCGCTGCCTGTGTGCCTCTCTGGTTTGTAAGTATTGGAGGGACCTCTGCTTGGATTTCCAGTTCTGGAAGCAAATCGACCTCAGTGGCCTACAACAAGTAAGCACGCAGGGCAGTGCATGTTTTATCTGGGACCCTATTGTCTTCAGGAAATATTCCAAGTTCATTAGAGTCATTCAGTCTTTACATTTAAGAAATTTAATTTACTTCTGTACTTTTTCCTGAACCTTTATAACCAAGAAAAGTTTAGTTTAGTTTCCTCTGACCTCCATCCCTCCCTGTGTTATCTTGTTCTCCAGGTGAACGATGATCTGCTGGTGAAAATAGCTTCTCGGAGGCAGAATGTGACAGAGATTAACATCTCAGATTGCAGAGGGGTCCACGACCACGGTGTGTCCTCCTTGGCCTCTCACTGTCCCGGCCTGCAGAAGTACACAGCATACCGCTGCAAGCAGCTGGGGGACATGTCCCTGTCAGCCCTGGCCACGCACTGCCCTCTGCTGGTGAAGGTGCATGTGGGCAACCAAGACAAACTAACCGATGATGCACTAAAAAAGGTGAGAATAATAAACCTGGGTGGAGACTTTGCTGGTCCGTGATACACCTGTCTCAAATAATATGTTTTATTCCCGAATGAAAACTGAAGTAAAAATCTAATAAAAATGCTTCAGGTGAAGTTCTCATGTATTTTGATTTCACATACACTCAATGATTTTCTCCTTTCTGCCTTCAGCTGGGGGAGCACTGCAGCGAGCTGAAGGACATCCACTTGGGTCAGTGCTACAGTATCACAGATGAGGGCATGGTGGCCTTGGCTAGAGGATGTCAGAAACTGCAGAGACTCTACTTACAAGAGAACAAACAGGTCAGTCCAACACCTCTGGTCATATATTCAGCGTTGTGCTTTTTCTCACCGCTTTGCCTCT